GTCGATGAAAAGGATGTCGAAGCCCTAAAATTTGGCGGAGAGTGAAGATATGGTCGATACAACCTCGACCGGGTCTAAAACCAGCCTGGTTCTCACGCGTGCACCGTTCACGTGCGGCAGACAATCGACGGAGTTTGATCCCAGGGAAAAGTTTAGAAGCAATGTTGATTAAACTGATTCCTCCGTAGTTTTCACAGGATTTGTCACCTTTCTTGTAAATCGGAAGGAGAACCAATTCACACCATTCTGTTGGAACCTGTTCCGTTTCCCACATTGAGCCAAGGAGTTCCGTCAACTATAGGACTAACGCTGAGCCTCCATCCCTAAACGCTGATTGGAACAGCCCATATGGGCCAGAGGCCTTATGCCTTTTGAGATACCTTATTTCCCGAGAATCCTCCATTTCAGATGGAGGACTAGCATCAACTGGGGGTATTTATCCAGTCAAGGCGGAGAGTGAAAGGTACTGTCGATGGGGGCCAGTTGAACTGAGCCTTGAAATGTTCAGCCCAACGGTCAAGACGGCGTTGCTGAGTGCCATTGCATTCCTTAATTACCTCACGCCTATTTTCCTAGGGCCCGTAATCCTAATTAGATGGAAAAGGTTACAACTATTACCAGTAGCCACAGCTTTCTTCATCTCTTTGCACTTTTCTACCCACCACTTCTCGCGATCATTCCTCAGACTCTTGATGAGCTGGTGTTTAAGGGCTTTGCGCGCTGTGTCGTATGTGGCATCCGGAGGATGGGTTCTGCGGGTGTCCAGCAGGGAAACCGAGTTCGACGAAATCCATCGTTTGTGTTTTGAGCTTGAGGCAGGGTTCGACGTTGTTTTTATCGATATCTGCATAGCTTCCTTGATTTTCTTCCAGTGTTCATTGAGTCCTTCTGCTGGTGGTTGAACTGACAGGCGATCAGAGAGCTCCGCTTCGAAGGCCGATTTGCATGAGTCACTGACACTATATCGCGGATATCCGTTGTTGGTGGCATCTTTTCTCGGTTGTTTGCCGGGCCTAAGAAGAACTTGACTCGTAACAAGGCGTGGTCTGTATCCATAACTGTTGACCAGTCAGAGCGACAGTCTTGAATTGATCCCTTCGAGCGGTAACTGATGGTGATGTGGTCGATTTGGGTCCAGCGCAGTGAAGAGGTTGGCGCTTCCATGTAAGTCGATGGCGTTTCTTGTGTGGGAAGTTCGTGTTTGACAGGAACAATCCGTGATCCGTGCAGAGTTGAAGTAGGCGAAGTTGAAGTAGTTGAGAAAGATCCTGGTAGAATTCATCCTTGATTTCAAGTATACTGCAATCGGTCGGTGCATACACCGATACGACGAATAAGCATCGACGCTTCATTCTGTAGCTGTCGACTCGAACTGAACCGTTGAGACATACAGCGCACAATCGGCTACTGACTGGAATCCAGTCAAGAAGCGAGCGCTCAGCC